ATTAAATTAGACTATTTTTGTTTAAAATATAAGACAATTAAATTAAATTTCTCTCTAGTCTTTTTTTGTTTGCCTCATTCCTTAATTTTATATAAATGATAATTAAAAAATTTTAATCTAAATAAAAATATCCAATAAAAATTAAGTTGAAAATTTTTAATTATTATTTACTTATAATATAAAATTATCTAATTAAATTTTATTTAAAAATTAAATTAAATTAATTAAATCCAATTAAAGTGAGTATGCATTATTTAAAAATTTAACATCGTTTTGTTTTGTTTTGATGTTAGCTAGGAATCTATCTGTATAGGCATATGCACTTCTCAATAATCAGAATATTCATGGCATGATTCGATCAAGGAATTAGGCCCATATGTCAATTGGACCGCCTTTCTTGATGCACACTTTCCAGCTAATTAAGCATGTAATTTTCATAAACCATGATCACACAGCTACCTCCACTGCCTTACTGTACCTAAAAGAAATAATAAAGAATATAATAAATTTACAGTACAACAGCCCGTGTCACCTCTACAAGTATTCTTTTTTCTTTTTTTCTTTTTTTCTTTTTTTTGGATGAAAAACCTCTACAAGTATTCACTCGTGGCTTTTGTCGGTTTTTTGGTGTACGTTATTAAATTAATGGTTAATAATTTTATTTAATGTAATAATTAATCATTTTTATTATTAATAATTTAAATTTTTTATTTCACAGTAAAGAGAATTACTTATGAGTAGTTTCAATATGTCATACCCAATCCTCAATAATTGAACTAAGTCTTCGGTTTTAGTTATTCATCTTTAAATCTTAGTGTTTGGATTAAATTGATCAAATTCGATTCTTACTAATCATTTAACAAAATTTCCTCATCCCCATATTTTCCCATGTTAAAAGAAAAAAAAAAAAAAACAGTTGGAATTAATTAAGTACATTTTGTTTTGTGGCTAGAAAATGATGTACATTGCACCTGGATTTATAAGCTGTTTCATTGAAGGTGCATCTCCTCAACCTCATGAGTTGAGTTCAATCTCTTCTCTCTTCTCCAAAAATTACACTTGTTCAGAAAAAAAAAAAAAAGTGTGCATTTTTTTCTTAATAAACTATTTAGAGACAAGCAATAAATTTGACTTAATCCAATCAAGAATTTTTTGGGTAAATTATGAATCTTCAATCATCTAAGAATAGTTCAAGGAGATCCTCAATCTTTCACTTGTAATCAAGTACTAGATTTTATTCAAATGATATAGTTGGCTACTTCTAATACTTAGATATGTTTAGTTGAAAGTAATAACTATTTCTTTAATGTTGATAATTTTCTTTTAGATTAGGGGAAAAGTATTCCTTGTGAAGAGGTGGTAATACCTATTGCTTAATAAGTTGCACTTATTTATGTTATGTTTAGTTGAAAAGTAATGATTATTCTTTAAAAAAAGTGTTTGTCAATCAAATTTTTAAGAATTTAGGAGAAAAACATCCTAAAAGTATGTTATTTTAATAAAATTCCATTGAAAAATATTAAAAAAAAAACTTATTTTTAAAAATATAAATGAAATTATTTTAATCTTTTTCTGCAATATTTTATTAAAATAATATAATTTTGGAACATTCTTCTTCCTAGTTTTTTAGAAATTAGGTTAATAAATACCTTATTCTTAATTCAAACCATAAAATAATTGGCAAAATTAAGAAAATTATTTAACAAGCTAAGAATACATATTCTTTACTATTAATATTTTTCTTTTATGTTAGGGAAGAAGTAAGGAATACTTACATTAAATGGAGATGGTAATGGCTATTTTTCGATCATCCACTAATTTAGCTAGAGGATTTTCAATATATAGGTATTCCTGATTTTCTCTTTTTTAGATTTTGTCTTATTTTTATAATTTGACAAAAAAAAAGAAGTCATTATTCCTTACCCAACATGATGGTGGAAATTATCAAATCTTGAGAATTTGTATTCCTAGCTAGCCCTTTTTTAGTAAGTTTCTTAATTTTGTATTATTTTGATAATTTGATCAAGGAATAGAATATAACTAGCAATAAATGAATATGTGAACATTGGATTCAACTAAAAATATGAAAGAATTGGGGACCCAATTAAATTTTTCATGAAAGGTTGGGTACCATGCAAGAAAATCTCCTTGCTGATTATATACTTGATCCTCTTGAGCTATACATAATCAATAGTTTTAAATTAGTAGATACCAACTCAACTAAGAAAATTAGGGGAAACATCCTTAGTATACATAATCTTTTCTGTTAAATGGTCCACATTGAAAGGCATTTGTGGATTGTGGGGTAAAATTTTGTCATGTATAAGAAGCTGTTGATTCATTGAACAAAAAATACTTAATTGGTCAGTTGCTTTTTACCTAAATAACTAATGTATACTTTTGACCTACTATAGACTAGAAAATTACAAAGCAATGGACCATAAAGATTCATCAAAACATGAAAAGGGAATATTAGAAAAGATGGTGCCTTTAAATCTTGACGTTATCTGCCTGGACTGACATACATGTTCCCAACAGGGTACCCAAAGATGACACAAACTTAAATATTACCACATAAATCAAAACCAGAACATTGGTAAGTGGAGGAGGAAGCTCCTCAGAATCTACCAAAAGTGAAGGGGAAATGGAATGCTGAATCACAGTGTTTCCCAGAGGTGATATATGATTAGGCAGATTAAGTGCTTCACTCCGGAAAGAACATACCTTTGTTAGAACCAATCAGAAGATCCAGTGCTTGTAAGAGCATATGTCACTGCTGTCTATGTCCTCTGATTATAATAAGATGGCTGATTCTTGCCCACTATTTTGTTACAAGTTGGCCGGTATACTAGACTGGAAACGTATATGATAGAAATAGGCTGACTAGCTAAAAGGTAAGGTAATGGAACAATGATATGTTGAGCAAACTATGAAGCCTTAGCAGAAGATATGTGATAATTTCATCTAGTGAAAGAGCATACTAATATATACAAAAGAAAACTATGCGGGGGAAACATAAAATATGAGGGAAAAGGAAAAAACTCAACCTTCTACTAATCGCCATTTCGCTATTTCGTTGTGGAAGATCAAATGGCATTGACATGGATAGAGTCACCTGGGGCTTCAGCAATCCTTTTTTAATGTAGGCTGATTTGACGTTTCCCATTGGATGACAATTTTTCTTCAGGAAGAGTAACAGTTGTACTTCCAACAAAAGCCGCTTAACCGCATTGGACATTCTTGAACTTTACTGTGGTGGCAAATTTCCTTTGTGAAGGAATCACTTAGAGAAGTGATTGCATTGAAGATGAAAGGTAAGCTGCGTGCAAACAGGCGTCAATCATGGCACGAATGGTTTTGGACGATTCTGCTGCTCCCTTTGTGCTCTTGACAATCAGATCATAATTGATGGAAGGGAACTGTAACAACAGGTTCTGAGAACACAAAGACGCATGTGAATTCTAAAATTGGACCACAAGCATGAGAGAGCATCAGATCTTGAATGACACATTAGCATGTTTTCTCCACATTCATTTCCATGAAGCAAATATTTTTTGGAATAAATCCACTGGGATGATTTAAACACCTATCATATAAAACAACAGGATATACCCAGAAAAAAAAAAAAAAAAAAAACAAACTTAGACATGAACAATTTATCAGCACATTCAAAATCTCACTCAAGGAGAATAAGGACAAACACATGGCTAAGTTGACCTTGGACTAGACAATATCTTGAAGCGGCAATACTTACCTTAAATGAGAAATTATTAAACGAGTACTTCACGGCAAGGGTTGGGTCACGGAAGTCTGTCAAACTGCCACACTCATCCCCCTGTTTCACAGTAAAATGAATCATCAGAACAGAGTAATGCTCCCATAGACCAGGGTGATGGTACTGTAAATTCCATATTTCAGCTTGAATTTCATTTTTACTAAATATATTGGGTTAAGAATTAAGATCTCCTTATTCAAATTGAGTCATAAAGAAAATGAAAGCAAAATCCTTGCCTTCCCGTATGAATATAGCTGTTTCATCCTCAAATATTAATTTGACACACTTAGCAATAACGTAAAAAATTATTAGATCTTGACATCAAGTCAAATATTTAACAGCCATCTAGGAGAAGGAAAAGATCTGTGCATACATATTCATCCTGTACATTGCTGAGAGAATCTGTGCTACAAGTATCGGTCAACTCATCAAAGTGCCTACCTCCATGAACATGATCATCCTCTGGGTTTCATGTATAACGGCTCATAAAGTAACTTGCACCATGGGCTTCTGCTGCTGGTATGAATGCAGCCTACAGCTCAGTCATGAAATTAATTGAGCACTGAGAATAAATAAATTTCTGTCCATACTCCCTTCTTTTTAAAACAACATGCAAATTAAACAGAGACCTTTTGCCTTGCAAGCGTGTCCCAGCTAATGTCCTTGAAACTAGGATGCTCCTTAACCTGTGAAGAAATTATAATAAGTTTCTAATGTCAAGTCTTACAAAAGAATCCCTCAATAGCTGTCTAGTATTTACCTCTCCAGCTCCTGTTGCTCCTAGTCATTGAACAGGATTTTCTGTTAACAATCTGATGAGAGTAAAAAAAAAGGCTCAGTAAAATGAAGGAAACCATTTCCTAGATTCTAAATCAAAGGGGAGGCCTCCCATACACACTCACTAACTACTCATATACAGTGCTGAACACCATTACTGATCTGATGCATGAAAGATCATTGGTACCGCTAACTAATTCTATCTTATCAGGAATAAATTTTATCTAGTTTAACTAAAAGAAAGTCTTTGTCTTGGGTGGGTTCCAGGGAAGTTGCATAGAACAAATTCAATGGCCTGGACACTAATCTCAGCTCACAATAATAGCTAGACAAAACTGTTGAAAAACATTGCTTTTTGTGTTGAACTTTCACTTGAATCTTGAACACATAACGAACGTCAAAAAGAGAAATTAAAAAATAAAAAAAAAAGTACAAGGAAGCAAGGAAAAGGAAAATAATCTTTCTGCCTGAAAAAGGCTGAATCGCTGGAAGGAGAAAAGACACTTAAAAATAAGAAGATTTAAAGCCTTAGGATATAATAAAACTACCAAATAGTAGACTTATGCTTTGGTCATATTCTACATTGCTCTTAACTGCAACTATGAAGTGAATATTTTTGCTGCATGTACCCACTTTAAGATCACTCCTCTGATATGCTTAGTTATCAACTTTTTCTTCTGTATTCCAACAATTATTTGACACAATCATCTAACAGAAATCCGAGTGACATCAAACAAGCATGCTGCTAAGAATGCTACTAACAATGAGTGCATAAAATGTGCGTTCAATGACCACACATAATAAATACAGAATTCTTACTTGTCTATCAGATCCTGTGCTTCATAGCTTATCTCTTCTGGTACCTTGGGCCAAGGTATATTTCTATTCTTTATATTGTCAAAAATATCCTGCAACCGGTGGGATCACATGCTAAAAAAAGCAAGGGTATGACCATAATTATTAAATAATAGTGAAAATGAAACGAGTTCCTAATTCCAGAAGGTTTCATTAAAGTGATATGTGTTCTTTCAGTATTATATTGAAGGATAAAACAATCAATATCATACAACTTTGTGGTCACATCCTACGGTGACCATGCTAAGTGCATATAGAGGCACCACAGATATAACATCTGAAGAAGGGATATGGAAGAATATTTTCATACAGTGTTTTACATGGTATGGTGATGAAATAATCTAATGGATTTCAACCATTTTCTTTCTTGTCAAAGATTAAGAGCTGTCCAAGTTACATATGGATTACGGAGAGTGCTTCTTTACTGATCTGTAAAACTATGTCGTAATTTCTTAGCATGCATCACAATATAGTACAATGATCCTTTCAGCCTATCCTTGCTTCAAGATATTGATATATAGGAAATGGTTTGTTTAACATAGATATGTGCCAAGACTGATATGGAATAGAACAATAAACATATTAAACTATTTTCAGTGTCACTTAGTTAGGTGCTGTTGTATCAGATAATCTACCTGTGGGGTTTCAGCATTGAATGGAGGGATACCCTTGAGTAATTCATAAAGAATGACACCCACAGACCACCGATCTCCTGTTGCACCAAGAACAGAAATAGTGGAAGAACAAAACATAATCACTAATCAAACACAGAAAAGAAAGAAGTAAAAATTTTCAACAAATATGCCATCTGTTTGCAAATAGCTCTAACCATGTCCTGTGCCGAGAAGTATTTCAGGGGCTAAATAGTCAGGAGTGCCAACAACTGAATGCTTTCGACGCAATTCTCTCTGCACAAAGTTTTGTGCCGTTGATTCATCATCCCCAAGAAATCCATTACTTCCAAGGGATGGACCTGATAAGTCCTCTGGGCTGTTGATAAGACCAACTTTTGAGAGCACAGCATCGGTCAACTGTAATAAAAGGGATTTAGAGATTTGTGAAGAGTGACAAGAAATTTTATCATGGTAGCATAAGGAAAATAACTAAGAGCTTGATAACATGGCA